ACCCGGGGCGGGCAGGGGCCGCGGGCGGGGCCGGGGCTGCCACCCCACCCACGCGGGACGCTGTGCAGAGGGATCGGCTCAGGATGGGGAGCTGCAGAGGCCGAGTAGGGCGGGCGGGGCTGAGGCAAGTGGAGAAGGGGAGCTCGGCTCTCCGCGGTGCCGGCCCCGCCCCGCCCTGCCCTGCCACACCGTGTCCCTCACCTGGCGACCATCAGCTGGCATTCTCCAGCTCTCCTGTGACCCCGCCCCGACCACGCCCCGCCCCGCCCCTCACCTGCTGGCTCCCCCCTGCGGCCCCGCCCCGGCTCTTCCCTCCACCTGTCAGGTTCCTCCTACGGTCCTGGCCCTCACCTGGCCGTCTCTCCTCCAGCAACCCTAGGTCTGGGGGGGTCTGGCCCAGCCCCGGGCTAGCACGCGTAGGGGCTTAGTGAGCACTGAACCCCCATTCTCAGACCCCGCCTGGCCCAGCCTGCCTTTGCCAAATGCCTTCCCTTCCTGGCCTGCGGGGGCGGAGGGGGCTCTTCTTGCTTCGTGCGTCTCCAGTTTCTGGCCCCTCACCACTGGCAGAGGCTGCCCCACCTGGAAAAGGCTGACTGCTTGGGGCAGGCCTGCCTCCCCTCCTGAAGGCAGTGCTGTCCCTCCTCCAGTGGTCCCCCCGCCCCTACACTCCCTACCTGGGGGTGAGCTGTACTGGGGGCCTGCAGGGCAGGGTGGGCGAAGCGTCCATGGGCTGTCCTTCTCCAGTAAGAAGAGCTTCTGGGACGCCTAGATTTCCTTGTAAGGCTGGGAAATCACTTCCTTCTTTCACTTTGCTATTTTTACAGCAAGAAACTGGTGTCAAGATCACGAACGGTGGAAAACAGGTTTCCTGTTCTTAGTATCCTGGGGGGGCGTGGAGTTTTATGTACTCATTTACAATCACTTCTCTTTGTTCTTTCTGATGTTCAGGCCATCCTCCCTTTGGCCAGGGCGAGCCCAGGGTCGGACCAGTTCTTGAGCTGCGTCTTTGTGTGGCCTTTTGCATTTCAGAAGATATTTAATAAAGACAAACTAGAAAGAGGCTCCAGTTCAGGCCTCAGGAAGCTCTACAGGATGCTGCGCCGTCAGCTCACAGGGGCCCCGCATCTGAGGTCACCTCCCCAGTGGTCTGGGGCCTGGCCCCTCTCGCCCGTCCACAGCACTCATGGGCTTAGGTGCTGGGATGGCGGTGAGCAGCAAGATGCCCAGACGGGAGAGGACAGTTGGGGGCCAGCTGGGGGGCCAGGCCAAGGATGAGTGCCGAGGCCTGGGCAGTGCCCCGCCTACTCCTGCACCCACAGAAGCAGGGTCCTGGGGGAGGCCGAGCTGCTCCAAGCGTCCCTTCACCCCAGCCAATGCTCAGGACCCACTGCAGGCCGCAGGGCGGCAGACGGTGGCAGTGAAGAGGGTGGATCTGGGGAGAGACGGGCTCGGTCAACAGGCAGGGCGTGAGCATGGAGCATGGACGGGCCAGGTGGACGGGGGCGAGAGTCGCTGGTAGGGGGGTCGAGCTGGAGGAGCTGGCAGTGCTGGGCAGAGCACAGCAGGGTTTGGGACTCGGCAGGGTGGAAGGAGGGGGGTATGAGGTGTCTCCTGGAGCCCCGTGCTGTTGGTGACCATGGTTCACAGGGGTAAGGACCTCCAAGGCAGAAAATGGAAGTCCTGGGCTCAGGGTAGGGCTGGCCACTGAGGCAGCTGGAGAGGGCTGGGGACAAGTCGGGAGCTAGGAGGACCTGGAAGACAGCCCCTCGAGTTTCCCTGCCTACCCTCCCAGCCAGGCCACAGCTCTCCACCTCCCAGGGTGGGAGGCACCCTCCTGACACTCAGAGATGTGTGCTGGATGCCACTGTCTGCCCCTCTGGGCTGGGGTGGGCAGAGCAGGGCAGCCTTGCAATGGTGGGTCCCCAGGCGGTGTGGCCAGCCCACCACCAGGCTGCACGCCACCTTGCACGTCCCTTCAGCTTTCTGCGGGAGGAGGACGTACGAGGCGGGGGGGCACCTTCCCTTGACCTCGACCCTGCTTCCCGCACCCACCAAGGGAGTCCACTGGGCTGCAGAAGGGCCCGACTGTGTGTTAGAAAAGCAGGCCTCTCTGGATGTCTCCTCAGCCAAGGCACCAGCCCTGCTGCCCGGGACACCAGCTCAGTTCCCGGCCTCACCTGTGGCTTCTGGCCAGGCAGCAGGCAAGCTGGGTGCCAGGCATCTGGGCCCCCGGGACTCCCCGTGCCTGAGACATCTACGTGAGTCCTTGGGTTGGGGAGACTCGTCAGGCAGCAGGGCCTCAGGAAGCCAGACAAAACAAACCAGCAACACACAGCAGGCAGGTAATCAAGGTGGCACTTTATTCCATCGTCACCACACGTCAGATTGTGCCAGGAACGCACTGGCGTGGTGCTAGTCCACGTCACAGGAGCACGGAGCAGTTTGGACACACGGCACATGTCTGACATCGTGGGCCTCTGCACACTCCACAGAGCAGGCACGATGGCCACAGCACAGGAGGGGATAGGGCACACGAGGCATGAGTGCATGCAAGGAACTGAAGGTAATGGCAGGTGACGGCCCCTCTAAGGAAGCCAGGCTCCCGGAAGCTGGCCTCCCAGCAACACGCCCCCCACCCGCCCCCCACCTCTGCTGGAGCCGCACAGCGCTGGGCTGCCGCCGCAGACAACTCTGACATTTTCCACTCTGATTTCTTCTGTCATATGGTTCAGAAATATTACTCTGAGCTGTACATTACTGAACATTAATTCGATATTTTAATAAAAATTCTATTACTAAAAAGGTGTTTGCAGCTGGCCCAGGACAGGGCCTGGGTGGCCTGAGAACTTGCATTTCCACCGAGTTGCCAGGTGCTGCCAGCCCCGGGGCCACACTGTGAGAACCTCTGGCTGAGAGGGTATTTTCCCAAAATCACCCAGGTGCCCTTCATTTAAGAGTTTGGAATCTGGTATTCCAAAACGATTCTGAAAGCCCCATGTTAATTTTCTGATTCCCTATTTTAAAAGCGGGCATTGAGGTGGAGTGAAAGAGAAAACGTGTGTTTTAAAAATGGAGAAAGGCTGGCGGCTCAGGCACCTCACAGTGGTAAAAGCCGCCTTCTTCAGATGCTCTGATTCCTGGATCCACCATTTCACAGCCCTGCACCTGGAAACTCATGTCCGCTGAGATAAATAACATATGGGACAGTAAACCCAGACACAAAATGACGGGGGGGAGGGCTGTCTCAGACCGTCGACATTGTTACTAAAACTGGAAAACGTACCCACAGAGCCTCGGCCTTTCCCTTAACGCTCGAGAAGGCAGCCTTGGCCCACGATGCCACCCGCCTGCCCACCTGCTCTCGGCAGCGTCCGCGGGGATGAGCGGCTTCTCGGAGGCGATGGCAGGGCTCTGTGGGAGTCTTGAGCAGAGGTCCCCGGAAACGCGGCGGCGTGCTCTCTGGTGGCGGTGGCGGGTCTGCACAGTGACAGCCAAGTGGACAGGAGAGATGGAGGGATGGCAGAGGTCAAGGCAGCGAGGACAAGGACGAGGTTGTGGTCGTGGCACAGCGGACTGCCAGAGCGGGCCCCAAACAAGGAAACACAGCTCACGAGAAAAAATGCCGTCATCTGCCAGGCCCGTGTGGCAACCTCAAAGCTTACTGTCAAAAGGTAAGTACACTTTACAACTGAAAACCAGGCTGCCAAAGTGAGTTTAAAATAATTTATAAATATTAAGTAAGCACTGAAAACATCTTTCTCAAATCACTGAAGTAAAACAAACCTTTAGTATCCAACGATTACAAAGGTTCACACGTGAGAATGCACCATCCTGTTCCGATTTTGTAAAGTCTCTTCTTTAACAGCCAAGTAAAAAGAGGTTTTGAGTCCTTTGCATTCCCTTCCAGGCCCTTCTCCTCCCCTTCCTGGCTGATCTGGCTCCGCTACGTACTCGGTTCCTATGCTTCTTAAACTCCTATACCTGGATTAGCTGAAGGAACATTCTGCCTTGAGGTGATGAGTCGGACACATAGCCATGGAAAGGCAGGTGTGAGGGCCAAGGATGCCCGCCCCTCGAGCTGTGCCGCCGGGTGTGGACATGGGGGGCCTCTCCACAGGAGGGAGCCCCCCCCAACTCTGCGGCAGCCACGGTGGTGGAGATGCCGGAGCATTAAGCACTGCCTGCGGCCGCGCAGGCCACACTGAGTGGCTCGGAGACATCTGGTCACCCTCCAGATGCCACTTCTCACTATTCGTGACGCAGTGACATCACACTACTTGGTAACCAGGAGCGTGGCCACAGCAGCCTGCTCATTCTGGGGGAGCTGAGGGCCCTGAGCCTGCAAAGCCCCGAGGGGCGGCAAACCCGCCATCCCACTCCCCCTCCTCAGAGCGTGCAGTATTGCAGTTTGCTGTGAGAAACCGCAGAAGCCAGAAGTGGCCTTCGGCAGAGACGTGCCTCTGGGCTGGGGAGTGGAACTCGAGGTGCTAAGGCCATGAGGCAGCACAGAGGCGTGTCCGCTCAGGGCCCCACGCAGCATCTGTCCACCCCGTCCAGAGAAATCAAGCAGCCACAGTCACAATGAACACCAACAAACCATCACACGATCAATTACTCTAACAGGAGATGCTTAATTTATCACGGGCTTCATTAGTATCTCACGGCGTAATTACGTTAGGTATTATACACGAGTCAGGAAGACTGGTAGTTAACTGGCTGAAGGAGGCGGAAACCAAAGGTGAAGAAAGAGGAGCCCTGGGACATGACAGAAACGCGGGAGTGCGGATGTTACATCTGGCAGCCTCCGGGATGAGCCGGCTCGTCTGGTGCCTCCCACGGGCACGACTTGGAAAACACGTATGACTAGATCTTTATTTACACTGACATCGAGGAAGCGACGTCCACAGACTAACTGAAGTATCTTCTTCAGAGCTGAGAAGGGCTTTGTTTCTGTTTTCATAGAATTTCTACTCAAACGTCTCCCTTGGGGAAGCTCTCCAGCTCCGGCCGGCCCCATGCCCGCCGTGGAGCCAGGGTCTATGTGTGGCTGTGACCCGAGCCGCCAACAGGCTGCCGGCTCGGCTGCCGGGTCAGGGTCACTGCAGCACCACACGAGGCGTGGATCCAGACACGCTTCCTTGGGAGGGCGTGGGGGTCCAGACGGACAGGGTCTTCATGGTATGATGGAAAATTAGAACTTACCTAATTACAGACGTTTCTGATTTATTCTAGAAAGAATATTAGACTTGCCGCTAAGAACCACCTCAGAGCCGTCCCCATCACGGCCAGTGCCGTGCAGAAAGGAGACGGTAGCCGCGCAGGGCCAGCACGTCCCAGAGCGGCAGCCACCTAGTTCTTCACCTCGGCGGCCTCCTTCTCAGCCTTCTCCCTGGCCTTCTCGTTCTCCTCCACCTTCTCCTCCTTCTCCAGCATCGTCATAATCTCGGTCACCTGGCTGGTGGAGATGTGAATGTCTTCCTTGTCGACCAGCTCGATCACCTGCGTTCACAGGCAAAGGGAAACGTCATTCAGGAAAGGGTCTGGCTCCCCATGCTCACCTGCTGCTCCTCCTCTAAAGGCGCCTCCTCTGCCACCAGCACTCAGCAGGCTGGACTGTCCCACCAAGCAGGGCACACGCCGACGGGGGCGCCCAGCACGTGCACTGACAGGGCCACCAGGGTCCTCAGAGTTTGAGCTCCCACCTAACCCCAGGGGGCCAGCCAGGCTGCAAAGCCCTGGGCTGCGGCTGTGAGCCACTAGGGAGGGGGCCTCAGGGAGCAGGAGGCTGTGGTCAGCCAAACCAGGCGAGGAAGCAAGGTGTGCTTCCCAAAGGACCCGAGGCCTGTGAAGAGGAGGGTGGAAACAGAAGGGGACGCCACGGCAAGGTCACCAAAACCAAGTCCCTGCTCAGGGCCAGGGGGTTACTGTGCTGGATGGTGGCTCCCACAGAGTCACCTGACCACCTTGTGGCCTTTGCAGGGCAGACAGGGTGGTGCACAGGGCCACCCACCCACCTTGCTGGCTCCGTGAGGACACAGCCCCAAGGAAGGGGGCAGACGACATGGGCTCGGTCACCTCCACACATCTGCTCTGGCACGTCTGCCTGACAGCACCTTGCTTTTCAAATGAACTAGAGGGGAATCGGCTGACTTTTTGGGTAAGTGCCTGGAAACCCTAACTTGCTTGCTGCTGTGCACCGGGAGCCAGCCAAGGTCTCTGTCAAGGTACTTCCTCTCAGAAACATGGCGATTTCCCGAGCTCCTGGCCCCTGGAACCTGAGGGACAGGCACATGGGGACCTAGCCTGCAGGGTCACCTCTCCTGTGCCAGGGCCCAGCTATGGGGTCACTTGCGCACACACACCCTCCCAGGCCTGCTGCAGTACGCACAGGCGCTCTGGCTGCTCCCCACCCCCATGCTCACGCTGACTGTCCTGACCCCCACTTTGCAGCTCCTCTGGGCAGCGGGGCAGAGGCTGCACCAGACCTGTGTGGAGCGTGGAACCCGAGGGTGCCTCCCTCAGGGGCGGGGCCGCCATGCAGATGGGTCTGAGGGCCCCAGAGCCTTGCTGGGAATGGGAATGGCCTAGTGTCCCGTCAGAAAGCAGGTGGCCTGCCCCGGCGAGGACACTCTCACCACACGTGTCCTAACTCTGGTCCCATATGGCCTCTCCGGGAGTGGTGCACACAGTGGGGCGGAGTCCAGCCTGGGCATCTGCTCCTCAGGCAGACACAGAAAGGCCCTCAGAGCCCGGCGCACTCAGGGACAACCAGATGCCAGAAGAGCTCGCCCAGCCGAGCTCTTCCCGTCTTGTGTGTCTGTACTGAGTGGCGGCTCACTCACGGGCTCACACGAGACCAAATACCTAGTGGATGGTCGCAGCCACCGAGACGACCCTCCGAAGACTTAGTGGATGGTCGCAGGTGCTGTGAGGACCCTCTGAAGACCTAGTGGATGGTCACAGCTGCCACGAGGACCCTCTGAAGACCTAGTGGATGGTCGCAGCCACCGAGAGGACCCTCTGAAGACCTAGTGGATGGTCGCAGCCACCGAGAGGACCCTCTGAAGACCTAGTGGATGGTCACAGCCACCGAGAGGACCCTCTGAAGACCTAGTGGATGGTCACAGCCACCAAGAGGACCCTCTGAAGGGCACCCTGGCCCTGTAGGCGGCAGACGAGACAGCAGCTCCCTTGGGCCTCAGCACTGCCCACTCCTCAACCACGGCCAACTGCGCCATCTCGGCCTGGCCCAACCCACCTTGGCGAGGTCGTCAATGTCGATCCTGCCGTCCTTGTTCTCATCCAGCGCAGAGGCCAAGCGCAGCAGCTTGCTTTCTGGAATGTGCTTAACTTGCTTCATGGCACTGATGAGCTCGGTGACACTGATGACGTTCTCCCTGGAGGGGGGGAAGCACAGCCTGCCGTGTGGCCGCGGCCAGGGCGGCTCCCACCCAGACGCGGAGCATGGCCCAGACCAGGAGGCCTCAGGTCTCTCCATGTCTGGCTGAGCCCCCAGGCCTTTTCCTCTGAGCAGGCCTGGCCACCCCAGACAGAAAACACAAGCTGCCTTTTCAAGCTGGGCTGGTGCTTTCTGTGAGGGACCAGCCTCCACACAGGTCTGGAGCTGCCTCAGTGAGCCCTGCCTCTCCACTGGATGGGAACAGAGGACCCCATGGAGAGCTAAGGGCCCACGGATGTGGTCAGCATGGTGAATGGATGGTGGTCCTCAGGCCTCACCTGCCTTGAGGGGGCCACCTGGAAACACCGTGGTCAGAGGGAGGGGGTAGACCCCGAGGGCTAGCCCCGTGCCCTCTGGCACCACAGACCCGGACAGGGGAGACGGGGGCAACCATAAGCCAAGCGGGACACTGACCTCGTCTGGGGGTGGAGGAAGGCTTCCATGAGCAAGGACCTGGAGGACAAGCAGGGTCATGGCAGTAAGTGTTATGGGGGCTCTGGAGCTGGCCTGCCGTGTGACACCTGTGTCGGGGGTCTGGAGGCCCTGTGAGGTGAGGCGTGCAGGGCACCCGGCCCAGCACCTGGCCCAGAAAGTGTTCTCCGAGAGCCAGCTACTGTGGCTGTGGGTGCTGTTCTTGCACACATTCACAAATTCTTACAGAACGCTGGCTCCCTTGCCGGCCGCTGCTCTGGGCATACATACTCCCTGCCCTCATGGGTGCCACTACTGAGCAGATGTGGGGCTTCAGGAAGGAGGAGGCAGCAGGGACAGCCCTACATTTGAAGAAAGAGAAGCGCCCAGTGTGGCAGAGGCTGGAGCATGGGCACGGAGCAGGCAGGCACTGTGGGAAGAGGCCGGGGCTGACAGGGGAGCCCTGACCCTATATACATTCTGGAAAATGGGGCTGCAGCCTGGAGAGACATGTGGGCAAGGGTGGGCATGGGGAGACCAGACAGGCCACAGCTGTGGTCCCCTAGACAAGAGATGGTGGCAGCTGGGACAGAGGGGATGGGGGTGCAGAGAAGAGATGACTCTGAGAACCACTTGAGTAAGGCCATCATCAAAGTGTAGACAGTGTGAGTCAAACGTGACCCCGAGTTCTGGCTGGAACCACTGGGTCAAAGCGGGAAGGAGCAGCTCAGTGCAGAGGTCAGAGGTCAAGATGTAGGCTTTGGAGTCAGAACAGCCCGCGTCCCAATCCCAGCAGGCCCCCTATTAGCTAAGTGGCCTTGGCTTTCCCAGCCTGAGTTTCCCCAGGAAGCCCTTTCCCAGGAGAGTCTTCCATCCCCACCCGCCCCCTCCTGGTGCCCTAGGCCCCGCACTCACCCTGTGGGTGTACCCTGACCAGGGTCCAGCTTGCCAGCCTTCTGCTCCGTCTCCAGCTGGGCGATCATCTTATCGATCTGCCCGATCATCTGCTGCACCCTCTTGGTCAGTCTCTTGCTGGCTTTAGATTCCTCGACTAATTTTTCTTCACCAGTCTTTGAGAGCTCTTTCTTGATCTCTTGCAAATCCTGATAAAATTATTTTTCAGTTTTAAAAAGGTTGTCTTATTGGGGAAAAAGAAAAAAAGAACCTTAAAATTAAGTTTCTTATAGAACTAATTAAATGAATCCAAACTGGCATCATGAACGTGGAAAGTTCCAGGTTGTGTAGGAAACAGGAATCCATTGATTTCCAACCATGGAAAGTTGCAAAGTCTTATTTGTATTTATCATACAAATTTGTTTTTATTTTTGCAAACTCTAACTTGTTTTTTTAGCAAAGGATATAAAATCTATTTTGAAACTCAATTTTCTTCACATTTGTTAAAGAATAATAAGTATTACCTTGAGCATTACGCTCTGTTAAGAACTACCTATTTTTACGCAAATAACACATACACTTTTTTTGTCAACTGCGCAACCCCCCCCTCGCTATTTCTGTAAGCGAGCTATGCCACGCGTTGTATGGTGTGGGTGCAATATTTGAGAAAATACAGTATCTATATGGGATCAAATTGACAACAGCCACTTGAAAGACTGCATAGGAACCTGATGGAGGTACCATTAAACACTTGTGGGGCCCAATCAGAACACGCTACCCTTTCACTCCTTCTGCAGCCTTTGTCTCAGGCACAGACGCCACCAGCCTGGGTCACCTGCCCGCCCGCCCGCAGCTGCCGCCTCACCTCGCTGTAGTCCTGCACGTCCTCCTTCAGCAGCTCCAGCTCCTCCTTCTCCTTGGTCAGGGACTTCTTCTGCTCCTTCAGCTTAGAACAGGCATCACTGAGTATGTCGATTTCTTCCTTAGTGATTTCCTCTCCCTGGGAAGCAAACAAAAACCTAAATGAAAGGGGACACGGGGCTTTTCTCCCCTAACGGCGTTTCCAGCTTCTCTGTTCACAGCTGCAGGCCAGCATCTGGTATAGAGTGCCACTTCAGGTAGGCCTGAGGCACAGGACACACACATGGCCCAGAGAGTCAAAGCCAGGGCTACACGTGCCACGTGTCCTAGGCTCTTCCCGGCAGCCTCGTGCACTAAGCTACACATACGGAAATGGTATAATCTGATGAGTTTTGCCATATGTATGCACCCAAGAAACCATCACCATAATCAAGACAGTGAGCATATCAGTCACCCCCAAATGTTTCCTTGTACCCCTTTGTGATCCCTCCCTCTCACCCCCTCACCACCTCCCCCTTCCCAAGCAGCCACTGATCTGCCTTCTGTCACTACAGATGAGTTTGCATTTTCTACAATTTTATATAAATGGAACCATACAGCATGTCCTCCTTTTGGTCTGCCTTCCTTTCACTCAGCATGAGGGTTCTGAGATTCATACACGCTGTAGGATGTTCCTTTTTCACTGCTGAGTAGTAGTCCATTGTATGAATACACCAAACTCTGCTTATGCATTTACCTGTTGATAGATGTTTACCTCCTCTCCAGTTTTCAACTATTACAAATAACAGTACTACAAACATTCATCAGCAAGGTTCTCCTTTCTCTTGGGGAGATACTAGGAGTAGACGGCTGAGTCACGTGGTAGGTAGGCCTAAGTTTAACTCTTTAGGGAACTGGCACACTGTTTCCCAAAGTGGCCGTACCCTGTTCCCACCAGCAATGCGCCAGAGTTCCAGTTTGCCCACATCCACCCCAATACTTAGAATGATGTTTTTTAAATTTTAATCATCCTAATAGGTGGGTGGAGCCCTGGTGACACAGTGGTTAAGTGCTCGGCTGCTAACAGGTCAGTGGTTCAAATCCACCAGCTGTTCCGTTGGAGAAAGATGTGGCAGTCTGCTTCCCTCAAGATTAACAGCTCTGGAAACCCGATGGGGCATTTCTACCCCGTCCTGTACAGTCACTATGAGATGGAATCGACTCAACGGCGGTGGGCTTTTTTTTGAATAGGTGGTACTGGCATCTCACTGTGCTTTTAATTTGCATTCCCCTCATGACTACCGATGTTGAATATCATCCACGTGCTTACTTTCTATCTGGGGATCTTCTCTGGTGAAAGGGCTGTTCAAATATTTTGCTCATTTTTTAACATCTAATTATCTGTCTTCCTATGTACTGAGTTGTAAGAATTCTTTGAAGTAAAAATTTTTAATTTTGATGAAGTTCGATATATTGATTTTTTTTCTTTTATGCTCTGTCATATTTAAGAAATTCTATGATGAATTCAAGGACACTAAACTTTTCTCCTAGGAGTTCTGATAGTGTTAAGCTCTGTATTTACATCTATGATCCATCTGGAGTAAATTTTTGTATGCTGTGTGAGTTACGGACGAGTCGAGCTTTGTTTTTTTGCACGTGGCTGTCCAACTGTGCCAGCACCTTTGTTGCAAAGATTGCCCTTTCTTTCCTGCTGAATTATCTTCGCACTTCTGTAGAAAATCAACTGTCCCTGCATATACACGCTTTCTTTCCGGACTCTATTCTGTCACACTGGTCTACTTATCTACCCTTCTGCCAGCATCACACGGTCTTGACCGCTGCGTTTAAGTCCCAGAGTCGGGCAGTGCCGGCCCTCCGGCTTTGTTCTTTTTCAAGGTTGTTCCGGCTGTTGTGGGTCCTCTGTCTTTCCAAATGAATTTTACAATCAGCTTGTCGATTTCAAGAAAAAGCCTGCTGGGATTTTGACTGGGATAGTCTTGAATCTATAGATGAGCTTGAGGAAGAAACTGACATCTTAACAATATTGAGTTCTCACCCACAATACAGTAAATCCCTACCTGTTTATGTCTTCTTTAATGCCCCTCGGCAATGCTTTATGGTATTCAGTGTACAAATCTGGCATATCTTTTAAAAAATTTATCCCTAAGTATTTCTTTTTTTTGTGCTATTGTAACTCTTATATATATATTTTTTAACTTCAATTTGCTTGCTTGTTACTAGCATATAGAAACAACAGAATTTCATATGATGATGTCAGTTGCAAATAAAGGCAGTGTCACGTCTTCCTTTCCAATCTCTGGTTTTCTCCCTGCCTTACAACACCACTAGAACCTCTGGCTCCAGGGTGACTAGAAGTGGCCAGAGCCGACACCCTCATCAGTGTACCATCGTTAAGAATTATGCCACCTGTAGGTTTTTTATAAAAGAAGACCTGGTGGCACAATCGTTAAGCATTCAGCTGTTAACAGAAGGTCGATGGTTCGAACCCACTAGCAGCTCCGTGGGAGAAAAGACCTGGTGATCTGCTTCCGTGAAGATTACAGCCTTGGAAACCCTATGGGGCAGTTTACTCTGTCCTACAGGGTGGCTAGGAGTCCGAATCAACTCGACGGCATACAACAACAGGATTCTGTAGATGGTTTATCCTTTTGAGTCTCTTACCACGGTAATTACATTGACTGATTTTTGAAAGTTAAACCAGCTTGCCTTCCCCGGGCCAACCACACTCGCTCACGGTGTACTATCTTTTCCATCTATTGTTGCATTTGGCTTGCTACACTCTGAAGGACTGTCACATCTACGCCCGTGGGGCCACGGTCTGCAGTTCTCTGCTCTTATTTATCTCACTGTATCTACCTGATCTCCTCTCATCTGGTTTGAGGTCCCCGTGGAATAGGCTGGGAAATGGTCTCTCTTTTTCCATTTTTGGCAACTTTGTGTAGCGCTGCAATCATTTCTTCCTTAAACGTTTGGATTCACTGTATAATCCACCGCAGAGGCCATTTGGGCCTGGGGTTTTCTCTGTGGAAAGGTTTTCAGCTACGAATTCCGCTTCTTGCCCACCGTAGGGCTCCCCGGCTTCCCTCTCCCTCCTGACAGAGCTGGTCAACACTGATGAAATGCAGGTCTGCCTTTGTGGACGGGCACAAGGCCCTGGTTTTTTCTCTCTTCATGGTATCTTTTTAATGAACACAAGTGCCTACCTGCCATTTTCTAAAGGTCTGTGCTTCTTGTTTAAGAAGTTTGGCAACCTCAGCTCAGAAGGTATTCTCCTATATTCTCTCCTGAGAGTTCTGAAGTTTTCCCTTTACGTTTCCGTTTTTAATCCATCGGGAACTGATTCCACTTGTGTCTGTACAGACACCCCCGTCCCAGCCCTGTCTATCAAGGGGTCACTCCTTGTTTGCTGGCCGTGACCAAGCCCCAGGCCCAGCCAGGCCAGGCTCTGCCCCGATCCCTGATATCTGACAGACCAGGCCCCCACCTCCTCCTTCTTGAGTGCCTTGGGCACCCATCTTCCCTGACTAGGCCAGGACCCCCCGAGACTGCTGCTCCGTCACAGGGACTCGTCCTTTCAGCTGCGTTGTGGCAATAATAATGCCACATTTGTGGAAGCTCTGTCTCCCTGTATCCAGTCTCAGGAGTGACTCCAGCCTCCTCAGGAGCTTCCAGGCACCAGTGGGGTGAAGACCATGCTTTTCTGAGGACTATGGCCTCCGTTAAGTCAGCAGGGGCCCAGGGCTCCCACTCTGCTGACAGGACAAATACCACGCTTCTATCCCAAGCCATATCAGTCTCCAAGCGGAGCCCCCCGGCTCTGGATGGCCCCCGTTCCACCTACATCCCCTCCCTCCCCTCACACGGCACCTGTGGGCTTCACGGTCCAGCACACACAAGCTACTTTCTGCAGGCCTTGTCCCTTCCTCTCCTCCGCCCTGCCTGCCCCTGCCCGAGGACAGCTGACATGGGGGCGGACACCCACTGAGGTCTCAGTGCTCCTGCCACTCAGAGCAGGCAGAGGGTGGGTGCTGGTTCCAGCAGCTTCTCCTTCCAGTCACTCACACCCAAACCTCGGAATCTCACCCGACTCTCTCCTCACATCCCACCTCACAGGAAATCCTGTCGGCCTTGGCTTCAACACACACCCAGCACAGACCTCTTCTCCGTGGCCTACGACCACTTGTCCAAGCCACCATCACCTCTCCCGGACAGCATGGCTGCCCCAGCTGTCCTCTCCCTGCCTCACAATCATGCTCTCCGCTGCACAAGGCCGACTCTCAGCAGTTGCCTGCCCAGACCCATCGCCCCTTCGCCCTCCTGCTCGTCTCCTGCCCTGCCCTTCCTTCGCAGGACGGTGTTCCTCGTGCGACACGCAGTCACCAGTACCTTCACGCCTTCCAGGACCGGGGCGGTGTCCTTCAGCACCTCCGACGGCAAGATCAAGTCGGGTACATCAGGCTGCAGCTCTGCCACGGGCCTGCCAGGGGGAACATCTGCCACCAGCTCCGGCTCGACTTTCTGCAACACAGCATAGCACTCACCACCCACTCTCTGCAACCCAGCCCAGTACTGACCTCCACTCTCGGCAACACAGCCCAGCACTGACCCCCACCCTGCAACACAGCATAGCGCTCACCACCCACTCTCTGCAACCCAGCCCAGTACTGACCTCCCCTCTCTCTGCAACACAGCACAGTGCTCACCTCCCCTGCAACCCAGCACAGGGCTCACCACCCCTGCAACACAGCACAGTGCTCACCTCCCCCCTCTGCAACCCAGCACAGCGCCCACCACCCCCTCTCTGCAACCCAGCACAGCAATCACCGCCCACTCTCTGCAAGACAGCACAGTGCTCACCTCCCCCCTCTCTGCAACCCAGCACAGTGCTCACCTCCCCCTCTCTGCAACCCAGCTCAGCAATCACCGCCCCCTCTCTGCAACACAGCACAGCGCTCACCTCCCCCTTCTCTGCAACCCAGCACAGTGCCCACCTCCCCGTCTCTGCAACACAGCACAGTGCTCACCTCCCCCCTCTCTGCGACCCAGCACAGTGCTCACCTCCCCCTCTCTGCAACCCAGCACAGCAATCACTGCCCCCTCTCTGCAACACAGCACATCGCTCACCTCCCCCTTCTCTGCAACCCAGCACAGTGCTCACCTCTCCCTCTCTGCAACACAGCACAGTGCTCACCTCCCCCCTCTCTGCGACCCAGCACAGTGCTCACCTCTCCCTCTCTGCAACCCAGCACAGCATTCACCGCCCCCTCTCTGCAATACAGCACAGTGCTCACCTCCCCTTCTCTGCAACCCAGGACAGTGCTCACTGCCCCCTCTCTGCAACACAGCACAGCGCTGACCACCCACCCCACACAGCAGCCTCCCTGGTGTCTGCACTCAGCAGATGTGCTACTCTGCTCTCAAGGTCACACACTGGACGAACCTAACTGTGACGAAGAGATTCACAGAAACCCATAACTAGACGCAGACAGCTTTCTTTGCACGAGGTCTCATGCAGGACTCTCTACGGGACCAGAAGGAACATTTCAGTATGATTCACGTGGCCTTTCACAAGCACTGGCCAGACCATGCCAGGCCTCTCTACACAGCACCTAACTTCATCTCTGGTCCCTTTCTGGACAGAAAGGTTAGCTTTGCCACGAAAGAGGAAGAAACCTAAACTGAGGCTGACGACAAAGATGCCCTGCCCTCAGCAGAGCAGGATGTTGGGTGTGCATGTGCGCACGTGGTGTGTGTACGTGTGTGTGGTGTGTGCATACATGTGCACATGTACGTGATGTGTACACGTGTGCGTCCATGGCGTGCACACGTGGCATATGTGGGGTGCGCAGGCATGTACGTATATATTTGCTCGTGCGCACATACATGGTGTGTGCACACGTGCGTGGTGCATGTATGTGGTGAGCACACGTGCGTATATATGTAGTGTGAGCACACACTTGCATGCATATGTGGTGTGCACGCGTGTGGTGTGTGTGTATGTGGACACATGCACATGTGCGGTGTGTGCATATGTGTGCACACGTGCGTGCATATAGCAGGTGTACATGTGTGTGGTGTATACGTGTGGTGTGTGTGCATGTGTGTGCGTGTGGTGTGTCTGTGGACACGTGCACGTGTGGTATGTGCACATATGTGGCGTGTGGACACGTGCACATGTCTGCATGGAAATGGCTAAGAGGCTTGCATGCCCAGGGGACCTCAGAACCCTGAGAGCTGCAGCCCAGTTTCCTGCTGGCCTCGGGGCCCAGGGAGCAGGGGCCTGCCCCCAGCCTGAGGCCCTGAAAAGAACTAGTAGGGGCGGCACGCAGTGACTTCCGCTGGCATGTGGGAGCTGGCACCTCTGCTCTGACAGGCACTGGCACCAAGCGAGAGACCACCAAGCCCCAACCCCCCCCAGAGACGGGGGAGCACACACAGAAGGGGAGCAAGGTTTCCTATATCTTCTCCAACCTTTTCTGCAAGGTTTTCTTGATCTTTTCTGAAATCTTTAAATTCTCAAAGACGCTCATACTGAAAATTGACATCTAAAAGCAACCTTCACAGCTCTGGAACAAATTATTGGCTTTGTCTTTAGAATCAGCAAAGCCACTGTCAGCACAGCAGATCAGGAATCTGCTCAGGAAGGTGCATCTGCACAACCAGGAGGGACACGGGGTGGGAGGGATGCTGGGGAGGGAGGGGAGGGATGCTGGGGAGGGAGGCGAGGGATGCTGGGGAGGGGTGGGAGGGATGCTGGGGAGAGATGGGAGGGATATGCTGGGAAGGGTGCAGGAGGGACGCAGGAAGGATGCTGGGGAGGGATGTGGGAGGGAAATGAGTGATGCTGGGGAGGGATGTGGGAGGGACATGAGGGATGCTGGGGAGGGATGTAGGAAGGACATGAGGGATGCTGGGGAGGGTGCAGGAGGGACACTGGGAAGCAATGTGGGAGGGATGCAAGAAGGATGTGAGGGACACTGGCGGAGGGCGTGAGGGATGCTGGGGAGGGATGTGGAAGGGAGGCAGGAGGGATGCTGGGAAGGAATGCTGGAAGGACACTGGAAGGATGCTGGGGAAGGGAAGCCCCAGGGCAGGTGGTGAGTCCTGCAACAGACCGTGCCTGGGCCTTTGGTGGGGACACCTCATTTCAGCACAGCAGCCCGAGGGCAGCCCCAGGACCTGGGAGCTCCTAGCCTGAGGCCAGACTGCACTGTCTGCCACCAGTGGCCCCCAAGAACCACTGCAAGCTCTTCCTCAGGGAACCTCCCCCACAACAGCAGCCCCAACACAAACAGAACAGCAAACACCCCTCACCCAGCCTCTCTGCCCCACCATGCCACCCTCAATATTCTGGAGAAACCGGGAAGAGAGCACTGTGGGAAGCCCAGCAGTTCTCCATGGGGCGGTTGGGTGTGCTCACCGCCGCCTCACTTTGCTTCTGCAGCTCCTTCTCCTTGTGCTCCTGCCGGATGGCCTCCTCCTCCTGCAGCGTGGCCTCCAGCTTCGCCTTGTTGTCCACCTGCTCGCCCTCCACCTGGGCCGCCTTCACCTGGGCCTCCTTCGCCTGACAAGGTGGGGGAGCCCAAGTCACTACTGCAGTGGCTCCCCCACCTGAGACAGAGGCCTCTGCACACACCCACCTGGAGAGCCGGCCCTAGCCCCGTGTCTCAGCTGCCACAGGGGACTGACCTCCCCCCAGAACTGCGAAGAACCGTGGAAGGCAGCCAGGGGTCACCTGCTCCCAGGCTCTTAAAACAAACTCTCAATATCCAAAGAAAGACCAGATACAAGATGCTATTGGCGAAACTTTTAAGTGCTGTATTTGAAACCTGCCACACACAGCCAGCACGCTGCAGAACGGGGGTCGGGGCTCCTCAGCTCCAGCTCGGCATGGCTGCACCATGTGGGGGGGGCAAGATGGGGGGATGGGTGCTGCGGGAGACGGGAGGAGGTGGGGAACAAGTGAGGTGCGAGTTGAGGGGGTGCTGGGTGGAGAGAAGCAGCGGGACCAGGGCTCCTGGGGGCAGAGCTCCATGGCTGAGGAAGTAAGCATTTCTGCGGCCCCTCTGTCCCCCAGAACAGAGAGAGAGGCAATCACACGCACCACAATCTCCGGGAGGGTCTGCAACGTGGACTTGAGCTGGTCAGCGGGCGAGAGGGTGTCAGGGAGGTACATGGCCCGGGACAGGATCAGCAGCGATGTGGGGATCTCCTGGTTTAGGTGCAGGTCCAGCCACTGCAGTTCAAGACACAGACTCACAGACGTGCCGTCCCTGCCCCGCCCTGCTGACTGCCACCTGGACCCCAGGGGTCAAAGCACCGCTCAGGTCTCTTAGCCCTAAAACTCTCTTCTGCTGTTCTGCTGGGACTGGGAGGAGGGGAGGAGGAGGCTGACGGTGGGACGGGGAAGGCTTGGGAGGGCCATGCTAGCCTGGGTGCATTTACCAAACCTTCCCTGGCCTCAGTTTGTAGACATGTTCCAAATGTGAAGATGGCCTTGAAATCCCAAACTCAGGTAACCTAAGTCCTCATCTGACTATAAATATCAAGAAAAGTGGAGTCCCTGTGTGGCACAAATGGTTCAGTGCTCGACTACTAGCTGAAAGTTTGCAGGTTCAAGTCCACCCAGAGGTACCTCGGGAGAAAGGCCTGGCGATCTATGCCCAAAAAGCCACAGCCTTGAAAACCTCGTGGAGCAGTTCTACTCTACACAGAGTCACCATGAGTCAGAACAACTCGACGGCAGCTAACAATAACAATTATCTAAAAATTTTGTAAAAATCAAGGGAAGGGTGAGATATGAAGGCCTTTAAAATCAACCAACAACAAATGAGAAAAATGGAAGCAAATACTCACTAGGCTACAAAACTGAGAACACTGGGGTGCATGTGAGTGTGTGTGACACAACAGCAAAGGTTACGAACACATTCTTATCCAGAAACATCTGGCCATTTGGGATAAGCCAGTGCTGGGCTCAATGTCACAGGCCCTGCGGCCAAGACTTTGAAAACTGCCTCCACTCTTGGCACCATTTCCCCAGGTCCCCAGTGTGGCCAGAGTGAGAGGGGAGCTCTGTGCTTTGCCGTGCCAGCACAGCCGGGGCCACATACCTGCTTCAGCTGCTCCTTGAGCCGGTCCACAGTGACGCCGAGCGCCCGCATGCCTCTCGCCCGGCACGCTGCCTGCAGCTCCTTCACGTTGAGACTGTCCACCCCTTCCTCAGCAATCAGCTGTAAAAGAAAACCACTTAATTATTGTCTTAAAGGCCATTAGAGGTTTCTGGGGTTCACAGTTAACATGGTTGGGAAACAACTGCCTGATTAGAAGCTGCTTCTCTAGCATAAACTTCACCAAGCAAAATAAAAACAGAAAGCTCCAACTGTGGGTCTGAAAGACTGGAACCAACTGAGAGAGGTGACAGAAGGTCAGGACTGCAAGGACGTGCAGAATGGTCAGACACACTCCGCCCGGGCCCAGCTTGGGGCATGCATGTCCTCGTCAAAGCAGCCCTCAGAGGAGAAGATATCTATCCAAGAAGTTCACTGAACCCCACACAGGGTAGATCCCAAGAGAAAGTCACCAAGACATATTAAAATCAAACTTGCCAAATCCAAAGATAAAGAGAGAATTTTAAGAGCTGCTAGGGATAAACGAAAATCATCTACAAAGGAGAGTCAATAAGACTAAGCTCAGGCCACTCAGCAGAAGCCATGAAAGCAAGAAGGCAATGGGATGACATATATAAAGGCCTGCAGGAAAAATATTGCCAGCCAAGAATTATATATCCAGCAAAATTGTCTCTCAAATATGGTGGCAAAATCAGGGCATTTCCAGATAAACAGAAGTTAAGGGAATTTGTAAAAACCAAACCAAAATTACAAGAAATACTAAATGGAGTCCTCCGGTTAGAAAATCAGTAACATCAGATAACAAAACCAAGCTAGAACACAGGACAGAGCAACCAGATATCAACCCAGATAGAAAAGTCACAAAAATAAATCAAAGCTAAAACACTGAAAATAGGAAACAGAAACATCAATACATAAAAGATGACAACATTAAAACAAAAAAGAACTAAATAACGTACGCAGAACTTTCATATGGAGAGGAAATCAAGGCGATATCAAGAAATAAAAGCCTGGTATAAACTTAGAAAAATAGGTGTAAATATTAAGGTAACCAAAAAGGAAACTAACAATCCTACACATCAAATAAAAAACAAGAAAAACATAAAGACGCAGCAAACACAAAATCAACAACAATGAAAAAGATGAAAAGAAAATACATCAAGAAAACAACTCAGCACAGAAAATTAAGTGAAACAAAGAAACTGTCAACAACACATGAAAAAAATACATTAAATGACAGCGCTAAACTCATACCTATCAATAATTACACTAAATGTAAATGGACTAAATGCACCAATAAAGAGAAAGTGGCAGCATGGATAAAACACATGATCCATCTATATGCTGTCTACAACAGACACATCTTAGACTTAAAGACACAAACAAACTAAAACTCAAAGGATGGAAAAAAATATATCAAGCAAATAACACTCAAAAAAGAGCAGGAGTGGCAATATTAATGTCTGACAAAATAGACGTTAAAGTAAAATCCACCACAAAGGATAAGGCAGGACGCTATATAATGATTAAAAGGTCAATACACCAGGAGGACATAACTATAATAAATATTTACGCACCCAACGACAGGGTTCCAAGATACATAAAACAAACTCTAACAGCATTGAAAAGAGAGACAGACAATTCCACAATAATAGTAGGAGATTTCAACACACCACGTTTGGTGAAGGACAGAACATCCAGAAAGAAGCTCAGTAAAGACATGGAAGATTTAAATGTCACAATCAACCAACTTGATCTCATAAACATATACACAACACTCCACCCAAATGCAGCCAAGTATACTTTGTTTTCCAATGCACATGGAACATTCTCCAGGACAGACCACATATCAGGCCACAAAGCAAGCCATAACAGAATCCAAAACATCGCAATATTACAAAGCATCTTTTCTGACCATAAAGCCATAAAAGTAGAAATCAATAACAGAAAAAGCAAGGAAAAAAAATCAAATACATGGAAACTGAACAACATCTTGCTTAAAAACTATTGAGTTATAGAAGAAATCAAGGACGGAATAAAGAAATTCACAGAATCAAATGAGAATGAAAATATATCCTACCAGAATCTTTGGGACACAGCAAAAGCAGTGCTCAGAGGTCAATTTATAGCAATAAATGCACACATAAATGCACAATAAATCCAAAAAGAAGAAAGGGTCAAAATCAAAACATTAACCCTACAACATGAACAAACAGAAAGGGAGCAGCAAAAGAAGCCCACAGGCACCAGAAGAAAGGAAATAATAAAAATTAGAGCAGAAATAAATGAAATAGAGAATAGAAAAACAACTGAAAGAGTTAACAAGACCAAAAGCTGGTTCTCTGAAAAGATCAACAAAATCGATAAACCACTGGCCAAACTGTCAGAAGAAAAATAGGAGAGGAAGCAAATAACACAAATAAGAAATGAGACGGGCGATATCACAACCGACCCAACTAAAATTAAAAGAATCATAACAGAATACTATGAAAAATTGTACTCCAACAAATTTGAAAACCTAGAGGAAATGGACAAATTTCTAAAAACACACAACCTACGTAAACTAACACAAACTGAGGCAGAAAAACTAAATAAACCACCCCAACAGGAAACTCAACAGAGAGTCCCTGACAGAGCAGGAGAAAAGTGGGGTGCAAAACTCAAATTCTAGTAAAAAGACCAGACTTAATGGTTTGATTGAGACTGGAGGGACCCCAGAAGAATTGGCAGCCCCCAGACTCTCTGTTAGCCTAAAATGAAAACCATTCCCAAGGCCAACTCTTCAGACAAAGATTAGACTGGACTATGGGACATAAAATGATACTCGTGAAGAGTGTGCTTCTTATTCTTAGCTCAAATAGATACATGAGACTAAATGGGCGGCTACTCTCTAGATGTGAGATGAGAAGGCAGAGGGGCAAGAGCTGGCTGAAAAGACAACAGAAGTCCAGGGTGGAAAGGAGGAGTGTGCTGTCACAGTATAGGGAGAGTAGCTAGGGTCACATAACAGTGTGTGTATAAATTTTTGTATAAGAGGCTAGCTTGAATTGTAAACTTTCACTTAAAGCACAACAATAAACACACACACACACACACACACACACACACACACACAGAAAAACTAAATAAACCTATAACAAAAGAAGAGATGGAAGAGGTAATTAAAAAACTCCCAAATTTTCAAAGAAGAGTTAACACCAGTACTACTAAAGGTTATTTCAAAGCATAGAAAATGATAGAATACTCCTGAACTTATTCTAGGAAGCCAGCATAACCCTGATACCAAAACCAGGTAAAGACACCATAAAAAAAGAAAATTACAGACCAACAGCCCTCATGAACATGGACACAAAAATCCTCAACAAAATTTTAGCCAATAGAATTCAAAAACATATCAAAAAAAATAATTCACCATGATCAAGTGGGATTCATACCAGGTATGCAGCGATGGTTCAACATTAGAAAAACAATCAATGTAATCCATCACATAAATAAAACAAAAGATAAGAACCACATGATCTTATCAATTGATGCAGAAAAGGCATTTGACAAAGTCCAACACCCATTCATGATAAAAACTCTCAGCAAAACAGGAATAGAAGGGAAATTCCTGAGAACATAATAAAGGGCATTTATACAAAGCCAACAGCCATTATCATTCTAAATGCAGACTCTGAAAGCATTTTCCTTAAAAACGGGAACTAGACAAGGATGCCCTTTATCACCACTCTTATTCAACACTGTGCTGGAGGTCTCAGCCAGAGCAACAAGGCAAGAAAAAGAAATAAAGGGCATCCGAATTGGTAACGAAGAAGTAAAAGTATCCCTGTTTGCAGATGACATGATCTTACACAAAGAAAACACCAAAGAATCCACAAGAAAACTACTGGAACTAATAGAAAATTTCAGCAGACTATCAGGATACAAGATAAACATACAAAAATCAGTTGGATTCCTCTACACCAACAAACAGAACTTCAAAGAGGAAATCACCAAATCAATACCATTTACGATAGCCCCCAAAAAGATAAAATACTTAGGAATAATCTAACCAGAGATGTAAAAGATCTATACAAAGAAAACTATAAGACATCACTGCAAGAAACCAAAAGAGACCTACATAGGTGGAAAAACATACCGTGCTCATGGAGAGGAAGACTCAACATTGTGAAAATGTCAATTCTACCCAAAGCAATCTACAGATACGATGCAATTCCAATCCAAATTCCAACAATAATTTTTAATGAGATGGAGAAACAAACCACCAATGTCATATGGAAAGGGAAGAGGCTTCAAATAAGTAAAGCATTACTAGAGAAGAGGAACAAAGTGGGAGGCCTCATACCGCCTAATTTTAGAACCTATTATACTGCCACAGTAGTCAAAATAGCCTGCTACTGGTATAACAACAGATACATAGACCAACGGAACAGAATTGAGAATCCAGATGTAAATTCATCCACCCACGAGCAGATGATATTTGACAAAGGCCCAAAGTCCGTTAACTGGGTAAAAGGCAGTTTAACAAATGGTGCTGGCATAACTGGATATCCATCTGCAAAAAACTGAAACAAGACCCATACCTCACACCATGCAAAAAAACTCACTCAAAATGGGTCAAAGGTCTAATTATAAAATCTAAGACGAGAAAGATCATGGAAGAAAAAACAGGGACAATGCTAGGAGCCCTAAATACATGGCATAAACAGAATACAAACCGTAAGTAACAATGCACAAGCACCAGAAGAGAAACTAGATAACTGGGAGCTCCTAAAAACCAAACACTTATGCTCATCAAAAGACCTCACCAAAAGAACAAAAAGACAACCTACAGACTGGGAAAAAATTTTTGGCTACAACATATCCTCTCAGAGTCTAATCTCTAAAATCTATAAGATACAGCAAAACCTCAACAACAAAAAGACAAACAACCCAACTAAAAAATGGGCAAAGGATATGAACAGGAATTTCACCAAAGAAGACATTCAGGCGGCTAATAGATACATGAGGAAATGCTCACGATCATCAGCCATTAGAGAAACGCAAATCGAAACTACAATGAGATACCATCTCATCGCAAGAAGGTTAGCATTAATCCAAAA